CTGTGACAGCGCAATTTGTCTTACGTGTGTCTGTGTGTGGAATGTGTAACTATGGGATCAGTGGAGGAGTTTAAAAAGGTTCAAGCTTACCAAGTGTTACATGACTACGTGAAACAAATCAAAGCATCGTAAGATGATCATGTCTCACTAATGCCGAAATATTACTGCATTAATTGTGGGGTTTATATATACATTAGTTAATTGTCAGCTGCATTCACCTACATTGGGGCAACGTACACTTTCCTATTCAGAATAGGAACCTCTAGGCAACTTATCCTGAGGACAGCTGGGAGATAGCATTTCTGGTTTGGTTTTGCTATGGCTTTTTCCCTGTTTTAAAAGCTGGTGAGGATACGGGCTTAACCAATGCTATCCCACAGAACACTTTGGTAGACATTTTTTTAGGCAGCATTAATGACTACTGCCCTGCTATAACATTGCACCCAAATGCTTTCTGCTGCTTCCTATTACATACATCACGCTTCCAGAACAAATCCTATCCATAGATTGTGTATATTACATTTTTACAGGCAAGTGTATATAGCAAAACACTAAAATGTGTTGGTAAGTACAGCTGCTGAAGCTTCATGACTTACTCTCGTTTCCCAGTCTCCATAAGCTGAAGCACTGAGCATACACTCAGATTTAAGCATATTGCCTGAGTCTTATAGGAAATCAGTAGAACTTAATCATATTCATACACACAGATGTGTACAAATTGAGGACTTTGCAGAACAGGAATATACTTGAAGATATGCTTAATCTGAAGCTCAACTCTGGCATTCAATTTGTTCCTATCTCCATCTAGACTATGCTTGATGAGTCTGGAGAGATTCATGGTGATCTTGAGGCCATGAGTGAGAGGATTGAGTATCTGGCGAGTGTATACTGTACTGAAGGAATGTCACAGCAAGTCCTGGAACTGGGGCGGCAAACAGAGGAATTACAGCAAGTTATCAAAGTGCGGCTACCCAGTCTCCAAGATGCTGCCAAGGTATATGAAAGCGGTTTTGCTAACACTAGCTGACAGCTGGGGTGGCGTGTACACCTTGTTTCTGAGACTATTAGCAGCGCAGATTAGGGCAATAAAGGGCATGATTGTGTTGTCTAAAGTTAGATATCTTGCACTGTTTGAGATACTGTCTTCAGGTGCTGTTCCAGATGGGGACAAGATTCCTGCAGGTTCTCTCACATCTGCCCGTCCTGGATGGAGGTATTGAGGATGATGGTGTGTCTCAAATGGCACTGAGCACCTATGTTCAGATACTTGAAGAGTGTGTTGGCATTTATACTGCGCCATTTCCTTTATTTTTCTCTTAAAAGATACCTAAAGCCTGCTATCTTTTAATTCAGATCAGTACTGGACCAGTTGAGGATTCCATAATGTAAGACCTGCCTCTACAAGGGAGTGCAATGAAAAGAGTGAATGTGCTTTTTCACGTCCCTGACATTTTTGTGCAGCTCTTCCATACGGGTTTATTGTTAATGTAAACGTGCGTTACGCCTACGCAATGCCTGAGGGCATGGTAAATTAGTACGAGACACAGGGAAAAGCACATAAGTCTTTTCTACTTGCTCTTACCTTCAGGGCAAGAAATTTTACCTTTTTTTTTTTTAAATTGATACGATTCAGGAAAAAATGAATATTGGAATGGTATAACTAGTATATTTATAGGGCTTCTTCGCTGTCACCTGCCACAGTTACACACTACTAAATAGGAAAATACCTAAAGGCATATAAAAGAATAGGCTATCACAGTTAGGACAATTGCAGCTAAAGTTAAAAATGGTCCTTCTCCACATTTGACTGTTATTTCACAACATTTATAGGACATAACAGAAATGCTGCAGCTGCAGCAGTCACAACAGTGTAACAGAGAGGTTTTGAAGACTTCGTTATAAAAGCACAAATCAGTAAACCATAGTTTATGAGCTGAAGGCTTTTACTTATTTATTTATTTATTTTTCATGGAACAAACCCGAGATTTGTGTACAAGTAAGCATAGTAGAAATGAAACTTACTAGCTGCAGTTCTCAGGGAAATCTTAGAACAATTGAATAAACTATTTGTAAATTTTTATAAGAAAACCTGGAGATGAATAGAAGCCAACATAAATTTATGAAGAAAGAAAATCATATCAAAAGTGTCCGATTTAATGTGAAAGTAATAGGTAGATTTGTATATAAATGTACAATATGTCATATATCTTGACTTTAATAATGTTTCACATTACATTGTTATTAAAAAGTTAATAAGCTTATCTAGTTGAAAATACAATAAGTAGGCGTAAAGCTGGCTAGAAAACTTACCTGGTGTGTAATTATCAATGGTTCACAGCCCAAAAGGAGGGATACATCAAATAGGGTTTTGCAGGCTTCTCCCTTGGATCTGGTGCTATTCAGTATTTTCATTAATGAGTTGGATGGTGGTTTAGGGATGGTTTTTGAGATGCTTAGACAACATCATTACCTGAAAAAAAATAGACTGCTGTTCAGCAGAGACAGGGGCATATTGTTACATTTAGACAGGAAGAATCAGGCATGGCAGCTCTTAATGAGGAACTACTGGCTTGACGCACTTTGTTGAAAGGTCTTAAGTTTAATAATGCAGATCATGGGAAAATGAGTGAAAAATGTCACATCATTGTAAAAAAATCCAAACACCATGCAGAAAATACAGTATATAATTGTAAGGTATGTGAAGCAGTTGTTTGGTTCTACCTATTGGTCACTAGCAAGGTTTCAGCTGTGTCCAGTTTTGTGCTTGAAGGAAGATATGGACTGACTGTAGAAAGAACAGAGGATAGTGAGGATTGTGATATGTGTACAAATTTGTAGAAAAGATGCATGAAAAAGGATTATCCTAACATATGATGTATTCGGAGAGAATAAAAATAATTTGTTCTTCATGTCTGTTGTTAATAGGACAGTAAGTTGAGGACTGAAATTGCAACAAAAGGTGGCAGACCATTGGAAGAAAACTTTCTACAAAGAAAGAGTACTGAAATAGTGGAATATGTTGTCTGTAGAGATCAGTGAGACTGCACTGCTAGTGGTCTTTAAGAACAGTCTGTAAAGATAAAACAGTTATGTCCTGTCTTATTACAGGAAGATCACTAGAGGACATCTTGAGTTCCTTCTAGGTCCCAAACCTTATGAAATTAGCTTTATAAAGTACATACTGTATTTGAGATTGAGGAAGTACTTAAAATAACAACTCTGGCTTTGAGACCTCTTTTTCTAGACTGTCATATGACTGGTATTTTTATCCAATATTTTAAACATTTAAAATTCGTTGTTAAAGCTATGAATTAGTTTTGGCACTTTATATAGGGATGTAGCTATAAAATCCAGACAGATATAGTGATTTTTTTTTTTTTTTTCTTATTTATCCCTGAATCAAATGTTTTGTGTTATAGGACATGAAGAAATTTGAAGTTGAGCTGAGAGCCCTGCAGGCTGCTCTGGAGCAAGCCCAAGCCACACTGACATCTCCAGAGCTTGGGCACTTGAGCTTGAAAGAGCAACTTTCCCACAGACAGGTAAAAGGCCAAGACCTCAAAATTAGCACTTGAGTAGTGTGAATTTATACAAAGAATGATGAATGTTAATGAGACCGATTGTGGTGTTTCTTAGGTGGGTCATTGTTTCAGAGTCTAGCCCCAAATTACTGCCAAGGGAATAAGGGATGGAACAGGAAAGATCATTCCTTCGAAGGGAACGGTTGAAGTATAATTCTTCATGAGTCTGTTCTCAGGTTGATGCAATTCTGAGAAATGTGCATCCAATCCAAATTTAATCAATAATAATATAATAATAAAGCTCAGTTCTTATCCAGTGCTCTTCATCAACAGGGTCTTAAAGTACTTCAAAAGGAAGTCTAGATTGTTATCACCATTTTACAGATAGAGATGCAAATGAGTGTGTTGCTAGATCCCCAGCAGTCAACTGGAAAGCTGAGAGAAAATTCAGTTTCCTTAAGCCTAGTTACATTTTTGTATGCTTAGTTGAATTACTTCCATAAGATATTACTGCTTTCTGTATTGCACTTGACCTACTACAGAGATTTGTCAGTTTGCTAATTTTGGTCTCAGTCTGATGACAAGAAAAATAACCCAAGCTGTAGCTTTCTGAGTCGCTTAAGAAATGTTTCTTGTTGCAAGCTAATATAGAGATTTAACTGTCTTAGTCTGCCAGTGAAAACTAAATGTCAACAGGTCTACTTTAGGATTAAATTCTGCAGAAAAAGAGACAGATGAAAGACAAATTTGCAGAGCTTTCCCTTTTGATTAAAATACACAATCTTTATTCTGGGGACTTGCAGCCAAATTTCAGAATATGGCATTGAAGAGCATAAGTGAAACACATCACCCACTGCAAGAGTAAAGGAATATAGAGTTTACACTATTTGTTTATGTGTATTCTTGGTCCTAGCTCTAGCAGGTCTCACAGTATGACTTTCTGTTGTACAGAAAGGGGCTGTAGCCCCTGCCCTCCTGTTTCACCAGACCAGAGAGAAGGTTTTGGAAAGGGCCTGGCTGGCACGCAGCCCCCAGGGTACCTCCGGGTGCCAATTGCTCAATGAAGGCACCCTTTGCCCACACCAGTGATGTCTGAGGAACAGGTCATTATACCAAATGTCTGGTTCAGATTATCCGCCATATGTCACGAAGGCACAGAAATAAAGAGCAAACCACAGTCCTCTCATCCTCTCATCAGTATGCACTTCAGACCCACTCAGTGTCTTTCTGCATATGGTACAGGGGAAGGGAGACGACCAGTCTCTTCATCCCTGTTTGCCACATACATTGTCTAGCTGATTTATATCTATTGAATTTAAAATCTTTTTCTAACGTGCTGAGGCTCTTTTCATCAACTTTGCCTTTTTTCTTTTTTTTAAATTGTTTTTGTATTTGTGAATACATTAAGCTCCCCAATGAAGATAAAAAGAATGCTGATCAAATCTATTCTTCAGTCATTGCACTTAGACGCTTCTCATGCATATAAACAGACACCTCGAATGGACATTGTGAAAAGAATAGAGACTGTTAACAAAGGCATCCAGCGTGTGATTATTCAAAGGAAAAGATTTCTGTGTAGCTGTGTTTCTGTTTGATTGCCTTTTGAATTTTAAGCAACATTTTCAGCCATGGTTTGTATTTTCAAAGGAAGGCTGTGAACACAACGGGATTCATTTGCTGGTATGAAAATGTGCTTCTGTGTCTCAGCAGGGAATTCCACTTGGACTTTAACATTAAAATATGTGTATACATAAATGACTCCTGTGCTGCTTTGATTTGTGGATCTCGTAAAGATATTTTTTCAAATACGTTAACAGAAGTATTTTTGGTACTTAGACACTTAGAAATAGGTATTGCTATGCTTTTTCATGAATTATTTTTATTCCTATTATACGGGATTTTTGCTTAACTAATATTTAAAAGAATGCTCATTTCAGAATGAGCAACTCCAGATGAAGCGTGTCCTGATTATGTTCGATTTAGAAAATAGATAACCAAATGTGTTTGGTATAGTGCTTGAACTCGTCGTTATTTTTCTTTTGCTGCCTGGAATGCTCTGGGAGTCCTGCAAAACTGGCTTACGGTGTCACTGACTTTCTTTTTAGCATCTGCTGTCCGAAATGGAGTCGCTGAAGCCAAAAGCGCAGGCGGTACAGGCCTGTCAGAGCGGCCTGAGGATTCCTGCCGAGGTGGTGACCGGCCTGCCGCTGTGCCACAGCGCCCTGCGGCTCCAGGAGGAGGCCAGCCGCCTGCAGCACGCGGCCATCCAGCAGTGCAACCTCATGCAGGCAAGCGCAACTCCACCCCAGTAGCTTGAACAGCGCCGGGCGAATTGTGATGAACACAGAGAATTTCGTAGCTCTCGGCGTTCCTCTTTTCTCGTGTAGTACCATTAGGAAGTTCCCTGCTAAGTTTTGGTCATTTCTGACTCCGTGGTTTTGGGGGGTTTAACATTCGTGATCGTGTTAATCGTGGATTTACTCGTCAGACTCTCATCTCGGTTCTCTCCTTGACCTTTCTGGTTTTTGTAATGCTGTTAGGTTTAACTAGGCGAATAGCTAATATACAATTGCATGCAGGTTGATTTTGTAATATATGTAACCAGTTAATGAAATTAATATGTCATTAGACATATTAACTGCTTATAGGAATTGCATAAAAACTATTGAGTTAAATTTAAAAATAATATGGGGGGTTTTTTTCTCTTTATGTAAAATTTATATATATTTTCGTTCTGATTTTGGAGTCATTCAGCATCTATTAAATTTGCACTTTCAAGTTTTGCTGAATACAAGAAAACTAGGTTTTGTTTGATTGTTTGAATTCATACCTAAACATATAAAAGTTATTTCCAAAGAAGAGGAGAATAAGGTTTTCTTTCCTGCTATTTAGTGATAGAAAAATACATAGTGAGCTAGGATACAACTACAGAGCTTCAAGTTAGATTACACAAGAGACTTTCGATCATTAAGCATACTTAATGATACTTAAGTACAAGGAAGTATACAGGGTCACACTGAAAAGTTTTAAAAACAGATTAGACAAACTGCTGGTGAATCTATGATAGAAAGAACTGATACTACTCTGGTAGGATAATGGTCTGAATCAGTCTTCATAATCCCTTCCCAGTTGTATTTTTTGTAGAATCTAACTTTTTCATATAGACTTTCCACTTCATAAAAAGAGGCTTGAAGTGAAAAGAAGATGAAAATGCTTTATAGTAAAACCATGAGACCAGGCAATGTTATTTTTTGGTGGGTATGTTTGGTGCAAATACTTGTTGGAAGCAGATATTCTAGCTCCTTACATTGGGTATCTAAAAAATCATGTTAATGTGAACTGGTTTTTGGAAATAGTTAAATATATGAAACCACTGAATTCATTGCAGTTCACAATATTTCTGAATGGACTTTTTCCTGACTGTATTCCTACTTTGCTTATTCAGATGCGAATGCAAGATAGATGTAAGTTTGCTCCACTTCAGAAGAGAGATCAGTCATACTTGGACTAAGTAAATATTTATTTTCATGTAGACATCAATTTTTTTCCCCCTCTCTAGGAAGCAGTGGTTCAGTATGAACAATATGAGCAAGAAATGAAACATTTACAGCAAATGATAGAGAGCGCCCGTCGTGAGATCCAAGACAAGCCAATAGCAACCAGCAACATCCAGGAACTCCAGGTCCAGATTTCACGTCATGAGGTAGGAGAGCCAAAATGCAACAACATGGGCTTGATTGGCAGCTCATCGACCCAAGAAACTTTGCATAAGCAACAGTCATAAATTAGCTGAGTAGCTTTTCAGACTTGCTTAAGGCTAGTTAAGCAGACAGACTTAATACCAGATAGGAAACTCATGCTATTTCTACAGTGTAGAGTATTCATTTATTCAGTTAGATGTGTCCTAATCTCCAGGCAGCATTATGACATAGGAAAGCACTGCATAATTAAGGGACAGTTAATGTAGGTACTGGACTGAGGAAGGTCCCAGAAGTCAATGCTGAACAGTTAGTCAGGTGATCACAGCTAGTTCAGTGATCCATATATAAATATATATCCTACAGCACTTATTTCCATCCCCGTAACGTTCTGTAAAAAAACACCAAGAGACTTGAATCACAGGAAAACTACAGTAGATTTGGAGGAAAACTTTGCAATGTTCACTCCAAAGGCTTCTTTTAAAATCGTTGCTGGGAAGAGTCTTGTCCTGTGGAGTTACAGGTCCTGCCCTCAAACTCATTTGATCTTCAGCCCTCGAATGAGTCGGGATAGTCTCTGTGCAGCCTTCTTGCTGGCATGGGAGCCCCTTCCCCCTGTTTGTTTTGTATTTCTTGGGATAGAAAATGCACCATTGAACTCCGTGTGTCACTTTTGGCACCAGATGGCACCATTTCTTTACCTTTGAATTAAAAGCTAGCTGTGCTATGATGTAATATAACCTAATGTTATATGTGATGCTCATTTCCTATCCAGTTGTTACAAAAGTTACTTAGTATAAATGCAGAGCAGTTTGCTTAAACACATCTTTTAATACTGAATTAAAAATGCTACTATTCTCTATTCAAATGTTCTGGAACAGCAAATGTGGGAGAGTGACTTCAGTGGTACAGGGTAATATTGATGGAGGAAGGAATGATGACACGGGGAGGAAGGAATTAAAAATGGGGCAACTTGAGGTTTCATCTGCATTTAAACAAGTTCAGTAGCTAGGAGTCCTTCTAAATGTCTGCAGGAAGACAGCAGCTTTACTCTATTGCACATGCTGGGATTAACCAGAGTGGACAGGTTTTGTACTTGCAAGCTTTCCACGTTTACGGGTAAAGGGTTTTGAAAGACTGATATATGCATATTTTGGGGTCATATTTTGTCTGCTAAATACCTGTGGAAAAGCATAGCATAAAGGGGATATGTTGAACCCTATACTATTATACTACTTCAAAACGCAAGTCTGTCAAGATGCTTCTTACACGTAGTATTAATTTAAGAAAAAATCAGTTACCAGATTCCCTGTTGAAGCCTGCATGAACAAGAACTTAAAAGGACATTGGTTGTAGCTATATTTAGAATTAAAATAAGAGGAAGAAAGTAGAACGAAAGTACACCCTGATTTGTAGGAAGCTTGTATCACTATGCATGTACGTAACTAGTTACACTCTGGAACTTTCTTTGCCAGACTGTGTTTCTTTAGACTTTCAGATACGAATGGATCCATTTTAATGGATAATACAGTACCTCACAGGACATTGCTCTTATAAGTTGCTTTATTTCTTTCACAATCACATGTTTGCCTCCTTTTCTTGGTTTTCAGTTGAGAGAGGTATGTCAGATACTCAGTGCTGTGGACATTAATGCCACAAATGTTAATGCATCTCAGTAATATTGATGGAGTTAAGTGAGTATATTGAATGGCAATAATTTCCCACTGAGCCCCAGAGATGTCATTCATTGAGCATTAGTGAATGATTGGTATTTGCCAAGCAGAGCGAATAACTATTCTAGCTGTTAGACATTAAAGTTATGGCTTGATTTGATTGCAGTTTGGTTTTTGGTTGACCTAATTGATGCTTTATACTCAAGACTTTGCTTAGTCTCCGATGTAAGCCCTGGAGCTCCAAGAGAGCTGCTTTTGTTGCTAACGTGACAGACAGTGACCAGGTACCACTGAAACCCAAGCAGTAAAGTGTCATCCTCAGTCTTTGTGCTGCTTCCATTTCTTACTCTGTATTTCTCACTATGACTGGTTTGCACTGTGATTTTGAGGAAATGGTTTCCTGAAAAGGTTATACAACCAAAAAAAATCTTTTAATTTTACCACCCTGAAGCAGTAATATAATTAACTTTTTAAAATATATTGTAATTATTTATTATTATACCAACTAGATCTTGCAATTTCTTTTGCCATTTTTCCTTGAAAACATGTGTTTGTTGAACAAATAAAAGCAGATATAAAAATAAAGTAGAAATATATATTTGAATGAATGATCACTGATTTAGTGGGCAAGCTTATACAAATGTTGTTTTCACTTTATAGATCAAAATTTTATCGAGTTTCTGAGCCTCCAGGGAGACAGGAACAATAGCTTTGGCAGAAATGTGAAAATCTTCCACCACTTTTTAAATATATTAATTGACAGCTTTGAAACTGGACACTGAACTAGGCAACAATACGGCGTAGGAGAGAAGACAAGTCACTTTCTAAGGCTGTTCATTTCCATCTTTCTTCTCTGATTAAACTTAAACTTATGATGGTGTTTGGCCATGCAGATAGACCATTTCATAGCCATAAAACCCCAGTATTTTCAACCATACTCTGCTTTAGGCCAGATTGCCCAGCTGTTTTTAAAACAAATGTTAGTACTGTGTGGAGCTCAGCTTTTAATTCTGAAGACTTACACAAAACCAAGACAAGATTAAAATATAGCTTATCCAAACACTGGCAAAGAGCAATCCAGTCTGCATTTAATCTTATTATGTGACCGATTGTTCATATCACACTTGATCTCGTTAGACCCTGTGAGTTATTGTTTGAACAATTCATTCTTTCTGGTGAGAGCTGAATGGGGCATATTTACAGTTGTGGTTGCCACATGACCTCATTTCCATGGCACGCACTATGCGGAGAAGCTTCATCTTCCTCAGATAAATGGAAATAGAACAGGGAGGGGGGGGAAATAGGGCAGGAAGAGGGAGAGACGTTCCCCTTTGCTGCAGTCTGAAGCTTATAGACTTCGTGTCAGGTTCAGGCTGGAAGGAAGCGTGAGGTGTTCCTCCCTCCCTCCCTCCTGCGATTGCCATGCACGCAGAGCCTTTCGCAGCACTTTTCCGGTTTCGCTTCAAAGCCCTTGGCTCTGCGGTTTAGCTGTGCAGCCAGACGCAGCCTGGCTTGTTCCCTCCACTATCAACATCCTGCTTGTCAGCTAGCGCGGCGGCTGATGCAGGGTTTCTGAGAGGCAGCGCTATGATGTTATTGGCTGGGCTTGGAGGGGACAGCTTGCCTCCGCCACGGAAGCTGAAATGCTGCGGGTCCTGTGGCCTTTATTGGCTGCCTCTGCGTTAGGGGAAAAAAAATGTTTCCTCAGGAGCTGGCTCAGAAGATCAAAGGATACCAGGAGCAAATTGCTGCTTTGAATTCGAAGTGCAAGATGCTGACAATGAAAGCCAAACATGCCACCATGCTGCTGACAGTGACAGAAGTGGAGGGGCTTTCAGAGGGAATGGAGGAGCTGGATTCAGACCTGCTCCCAGCACACCCCACTCATCCCTCGGTCGTTATGGTAAGGAACGCGTTGGCCTCGGTACGGTTTATCTGAGCTGCTTGCTTTTGCGTCATTGCAACAGTCCTGTGTAGCAAATGCCGCAGCTCACATCTACAATTTGCTTTTGAAATGGCTGGAGTGTGGCAAACCAAGCAAGCGGCAGCTTCCCTTTACTGTATTTTGCTTCATATGGACTTTCAAGACTTGTTGATAAAGAATGAAGTTATTTAACAGACAAATACCCGTGGAAGTTGTCTGTAATAAGATGCAAATATAGTGCTTTTTCGTAGCTGCCAGCATGCAAGACTAAGAAATTACTGAATTGCAGGAATAAGATAAAACCAGAATAAACCTGATTTTATAACATGTTGCAGTGTGTAGGTTTTACACACCATATTTTTAAAGCTCTTGTCTTAAAATGTTGATGTGATAATTGACAATGTACTGCTATATTCTCAGATTAATGTGTTGGAAATGAAAGCTGGCTACGTACTGCCATAGGCTTCATGTTTGAATTATTCTGCTGCTGTTTGTTTCTAACTGAGTCTCATTACAAACATACTGCTAATGCTATTGGGATTTTTGTCTGAGTGAAAACAGAGTTGGGATTTCAGGATTTATCACTGTATAACAGCATTGGGGAAGCAAGAAAAATATGTTGCTGCTGGATTGTGTGTATTTTGTATCTTAACTCCATTCCTTGTTCTGACCAGGCCTGGATACTGAGACCAATACCGCATTATTCTGTAGCTCTCCATAGTATTTCCATATGCAGCAGTGATTGTATTAGAAGACTTTGTTATTATTGAGTTGCTTGCTATATGTTTTCTTTTAAATTCATTATGGTACAGGAGAGCATGTTCATACTGAATTATGACAAGCATGTGCGACTATTAATTGAACCAGATTTTTAAGCTGGTAAATGTAATAGTGTTAAGTATGACTAAATAATGTCATGGTAATTCTGGCCATGTGTTGTTTTTCTTGTTTTGATCTCAATCAAAGTCAAGCCTAAGTTGAGGTAACTGATTTTCTTCCTATGCTCTGGGGTTGCTTCTCCTGTGGCAGATGACTGCTGGTCGCTGTCACACGCTGCTCTCCCCTGTCACTGAGGAGTCTGGGGAGGAGGGAACCAACAGTGAGATTTCTTCTCCACCTGCCTGTCGCTCTCCCTCACCTGTGGCTAATACAGATGCTTCTGTTAACCAGGTACCTCTCCCGCGGCATTCATTCAGCTTTTATCTCAGACATGCATGGTTCCATTCCACAGGTGGTTTATTTAATCCTCTGAAATAGTATTTGCCTATAGCTCCAACGATCTGAGGCTTAACCGCTGACCTAACTCAACCTTCAGTTTCTAATCCAAAATGGACACAAATATTGACTTCTGAGTTTAAAATGTATAAATTTGGTGTTACAGCTATTCACTATTTTTAAAAATAAATTTTAAGTGACAACTACGAAGCTCTTCCACGCCACTACTATTTTCTATTTATAACCTAATTTTTATTTTCACCGTAGTACTCAATGGAATCTTGCATCCTGAGAAAAAATGCAATTTTGTACTGCCCATAATAAAACACTGCATTATGTCCATATACATCTATCCTACAGTACCATTGATATTGTAGCATTGAAGCCACAGTCTGATGTCTTCCACTTCGAACCATTTCAAGTATTAACTTTTATGTATTTTTTCATGTCTTACTCATTCCATACTTTCGGCATCAGTCTATTTTAAGTGCTAATGAGGTAGATCAGTGCAATCGCTAAAGTTAGATTTTTAAATCAAATCTGAGGACTCTGGCACTTCTGATAGGAACAAGTGTACGTCAGCATTGATTAAAATGTGAGCAATGAATCAGCTCATTGAGCAGCACGCACATGAAGACACATAAAATGTTGTGCTTTAGAAGGGTAGAAATGGAGCCTTAGGAGCAGTCACCACCTCACTGTGTTCATCGTGCCGTGGGTTTTGTGATTGGTTGGTTGGTTTTTCATTTGTGGCTGCTTCCAAAACTGACCACTGCAGACTGAAAGGGTAGAATGGTGTTATGTTGCATTGTGAGTAGAAATAGTGACGTTGGAGCAAGTTGCCCACTCATTCCTTCCGCTCCTTTCAAAGATGCATGTAGATGGTGCTATAGAAGGTGCTAAATATAAATGATTTGTTTTTGTGAACTGACATAAGAGAGAATACTAAGGTAAGATAGTAAGAACGGTGACAAAACCTTCATAATAATAAGGTTATAAAGTTACCTTCCTAATAAAAAAGTTATATAACGCATGAGAAGGATTTTTCTAGTGTTCCGTCATTTCAGATAATCAGAAATTTCAGTAAAGTTTACTTATAGTAGAAAGGCAGCTATATATTTCAGCACAAAAGTCTTATGACAGTGTTAATCAGTGAAAGGGTTAGAGGAGCAAGAGCAGCTTGCTTTCTAATAAACTAATTCAGTATCAATTCATTAAATTTCTCTGAAAAAAAACCAAACCAAAAACCAAACAAACAGCAGATTAAGAACTCCAATAACTCAAATAATAAGGAAAATCCAGTGAAGATGCTGTTGCACCATGAGCTGACACCAAAGTGCAAGTTTTAGAACCTGTGATTTACAGGGTAAAATTGAACAAAAAGATTATGTACTTCATTTAAAAGATCTTCGAAAGAGATAGAATTGTTGGTGTTATAATAATCTAAAAAACTGACAGATGAAGGTTTCTTCAGTGTGGTTAATGTTGAAATGAGCTGCATGTACTAAACAATAAGCGGAAGAGCATTCCAAAATGCAGTGGTTTACTTACAAAATGCTTAGGTTCCCACTCACATGAGATTAAAACTAAAGAATCTCTGAAGCTGCCAGTGCTGATTGTGATGAATGCCCAGGGATACTTCAGGAAAGAAGGTTGGTTAACAAAAGAAATCTAGAGAATACTCAATTGGGAGCTTAAATGTAAGTTAAAAATATTTCTATTCAGTAAAAGAGTCAGTAAAACTAATTTGTAAATGTTTTGTTTTAAAATGTAGCCAGTGTTAAGAGAAATAATTTCCCACTGGAAGATCACCTGCAAAGTACCAGAAAAACATGTACTAGAAAGCAAAGAATTACATTAATCCAGTGTTTGGAAGAAAATTAAAAGCTCGTATGAAGTGGAGTGGTTTTGGGAGGGAAGGTTGGGTGTTAAGACTGTTTTTAAATTAATCCCTAATAATCTATGTACAGTCTTTCATCAGGGTTTCCTAGCATCTCTTCAATGGTGAAATGTAGCTAGTCTGACCTGAGAAATCTATGTGCTATTTTTACGTTGCTAGCAAGTAATGAAAATATAATGCAAATGCCAAGTGCATATTAGTGGAAATACTGGTTCTATGTATTGAAACAGATTAAACCAAGACCATAAATACAAGAAAGTGACAGATCTAACACTGTTACAAGTTAACAGTTGCCCAGGTTGTTTGTTTTGTATCAAAACTCCTCTAAAAACAACTGAAGGGGGTGGGAAACTATAAAAATCTTAACTTTTAAAAGGCTGAGGAATTTCACAATGTATAATATTTCAGCAATGGATAACAGTCCTTTAATATAGTTTATTTTGATATATAGCAAAATCAGGCACTCCATCTGTGCTGAACGAGAATCCTCTGGGGCTAAAACTTCTCACATTTACCCAAAGATATCATTGATTAAAATTTAGCACATTCTTTTAAAACTTATTTTCCAAATGCATAATGGCGAGCAGTTGAATTGAAAACGCTGAAGTGTTGACATAAAGCCTTGGAGGTCACAGCTGATGCTGCGATTCAAGTCTTCAGCACTGGGACACTTAAATGTCTCTCTGTCTCCTTGTTCACAGCCTGCTTAATCATTCTTTCTCCTTCCTTATGAAAACTCATCGAGGGTGCAACAGCCCTTGTTAAATACCTTTGAAATCTAAACACACCCTTTTTCCCTAC